GTGAACACCCTGACACAGTGCAGGCACTCGGGGGCGTGAACATCTGCCTGTGAGCAGGTGCCCACTTACCTTCCTGCTGGTTACCTAATAATGTGCCTTCTTTGTCTGGGCTGCATATATATCTAAAAGGCCCATGGAAGGACTCAGGGGGTTGGCTGGGTCTACTGCCCCACTGCATCTCACTTCTTCGGCCACCTGCCGGGATCCTGCATGTTTCCTGGGCCCGAGCCTCCACCCAAAGGTGTCCTTGGGGAAGTTACTGAGCCTCTCTCAGGTGCTCATCTGAGAGATGGTAGAAGCAATACCTGCTTCACAGGGTGGCTGTGGGGATTCCATGAACAGGGTCTGTCAAGTTCTTACACCAGAATCCACAAGGTGTTCTACGTACCAGGAAGTACAGCCTAAGCCTTCCTTAACTACGGAGAATGAGTTCCCTCCAGCTGCCACTGCAGCCCTGCTCTGGCCTCCCTCTCCAGATGCCTCTTCTCTACCTCTGTCCTCAGGCCCCACTTCCCACCCCAGGCACACTCTCCCTCCGACACCTCCCCAGTCACATTTGCTCACTTCCCGTCCTCACCTGTCCTGTCTCCCCTGTGCCTGAAACGCCCTTCCCTGATTAGCCCATTGGAGAGCTTCTACTCCAGCCTCAAGAATGTGCTGCACCGTCAGCTTCTCTGGGAAGCATTTCTACGGCTCTCTGAGAGGTAACTACTTCCCCTTCCGCACTCGGCCAGCCTGAGTTCCCCTTAGCAAACCCTGGGTCAGTCCTATTTGTGTCTGTCTTACCCACCGTGGGGGGGGGGCTTGCCTCTGACTGTGCCTCACAGTCTCTTCTCCTGAACGCCGAGTCTAGTGTGCAGTGCGAGCAGCGTTTTCATGTGGAGAGCAGGCCGTGCCTTGCTCTGAGTGCCTCCGCTGTGAACAGGAGAGCGGTTTCCAGGCTGTGCCTGACCCCATGCTGCTCCACTTCATAAAGCAGTAGTTGGCCATTCTGAGTATCTCTGCACCTTGTTTATGCAAGTCAACCACCACCCTCTGCTTAGCACAGCCACAGGCATAAACTAATAAAAATGTAACTGTGCTAATAAAGAGGGCCACCTGTGGACCTGTCGAAATAAGTCAGAAGCACACAGCTTCAAACCTACACCACAAAACCCAGACCAGTGAGCCACACACCAGACCAGCAAAGGAAGCAGCCCCTCATCTGAGACCCATCAGAGGAGGAGCACCCCAGGCTGGACACAAGGGCACCCTGACCTATAGCCTTGTCACGAGCCTGGTCCAGAAAAAAGCACCTCAATGTCAAAATTCTGATTCTCTGTCCCTGGGCCTCAGCTCAGTGCAGCTTTTCCAGACTTGATGTCACACATGGCCCACTCCAAGATGACACTGAAACTGCCATCAGTCTGGACCCTCACCTGGACCATCTATAGAACGGCTCACCTACAGTGACTCTCTGCATCCATATCTGCTCTCCGCCCTTGCTCGGGAGAACGCATCCTGTAACCCCGAGGCCGCCTTCACCCTTTCTGTAAATACAAAGGCCTACATATGAACACACACACGTTGTACAGTGTGCAGTGTGACTCGAGGGTCAGACACAGAAGTGATCAGGAGTAGAGGACAGAAACTGTGATTGCCAGGCTTGTGGCTGTCAGCTGACCCACGAGCACGGGCTGAGTGGCCACTGGTGGAAGCAGTGTACCTGTGAGCTCACTGCTATTCAATAAATCCTGCCGTCACAGAAAGACGCAAGCACGACTGGTCCATGTTAACGGCACGTCTCGCTCACAACATGGGGTGGTGACGACCGAGTGATGCGTGACTGAGCGAGTGGCAGACGCCTGTTTCCTCCCCTCCCCGCAGCTCAGACGCTCTCGGCCTGGATGGAAGCAGAATGGGATTCGGGATCCTTACTCCTCTAAGGCCTGCAGCATGCTCCCGGGGTCCTCGGAAGTCAGGATGTCCACCATCTGGTCGTTGAGGGAAAGGTCCTCGTTCACTCCGCCCGCCGAGGTGAAAGGCGAGGGCTCCAACTTGCTCTCGGCTCGCTGAACCTTCAGGAGAAAGGCAGACGCAGCAACTTAGTGGGCCTCCGCAGGACCTCCACACGACGGGAAGTCAGCAGGGAAGGCTGGCGGTCGGCAGGCAGGGGACAGGGCTGGCCTGGCCACCCTGGGCAGGTGAACTCGGGCAAGCGCTGCTCTTCCTGGAGCCTCCACTGCTCAGTGGAGAAGTGGGATCATGATTCCGACGGCCTGCTCCCGAGGGCTGTGCGCCTACGGCACAGCAGAGCTGGGAAGGCCTTGGGGACCCACAGAGATCTGTGCCGGTGTTGTACCACCCTCACCACCATCGCCAGGGGGGGGACCCACACCTGGCAGTAGGACCCCGCGACACGGTTCTGGCACGTTTCTCATTAGAACATGGAATTGAGGTGGAAGTGACAGTAGACATCACTAACCCCAACGCTGATGGGACAGAGGAGATATTTGTTTTGTCCCCAGGGTCGTTAATTCCACAGAAACGGGCAGCAGCTCTAGCTGACATCATTCTGGGAGCCTGGCACGTGTGATGACACAACACTCAGTGCCCCACTCGACAGATAAGGAAACTGAGGTTCAGAGTAGTGAACAGCACATGATGGCCACACAGCTCAAAGGAGCCAGGCAGCCCGAGTCCCAGGCTGCTCCACTGGAAAGGCACCCCCGTGTTACAGCACATTGTCTCCTTGGTTACCACCACTGGCAGATACATAAAGAAAACGTGAAGAAGGCTGGGGCTGTGGCTCAGCGGTCGAGCACTCGCCTGGCATGTGTGAGACCCTGGGTTCGATCCTCAGCACCACATAAAAATATATGAATAAAATAAAGGTATTGTGTCCAAATACAACTCAAAAATAAATGTTTTTTTAAAAAAAAGAAAAAGAAAACGTGAAGAGACTCCACTGCGTGGTGCTGGGTGAGTGCTGCAGGGCCTTCAGACTTCACCCCTCTGCTCTCCGCCCGCAGCTGCGCTCCGGCACAGCACGGCACATCCGCTCCCCTCGGCAGGTAGAGCTGGGCCTGTGACACGAGGTGCCATTACGTGGGCCGCCTTCCTCCTCACTTCTGCCACCAGGAGACAGAGGCCAGCCTCGCTTTGTGATGGCGCCTCTCCTCCAGGAGACGGAGGCAGAAAGACAGCAGGCCCCCTCGGCTGGACAGGACTTCTACCTCCAGGAAGACAGGTCTCCAGACACTGGGTCCTGGCCGGCGCTGGGCCACCTGCCGCTGTCCAGACTCACGGACCTCAGTTTCCCACACAGAGGAGGAGGGGGATGGCAGACGTTCCTTCCCAGGGGCTGCAGCTAGGGGTGGCGCTGAGTCACAGCGGCTCCAGCCCTCGATGGCCCTGCACAAACCAACCCAGAGCCCAGGGGGTGCCCTCCCACCCCCGCCACCTGGTTTTCCTTCCTGTCTGTCCACCCATAAACTGGCCAAGTGCTCACTCACCCCTTGGGCCCTGGAGGGGTGCCTCAAGCACAGGTTCCACCCAGGCAAGGGCCACACAGACACCACCTGGCCCCGCTAAACCCCTCCCCGACCCTGCAGTGGCCACCAGACAAGCGCCACCAGCCGACACATGACTCTTCCCTGGAGGATCCTGCTGGCCTTCAGATCCCATGCCAGGGCACAGTGTCATCCTTTCTCCTTGCCTCCTGGCCCCAAACAGTCACTGGTGGGACTTGGGGATGAGCACCCTGGGCTGCCTCGTGCCCTGGGCAGGAGTCAGCTGGTGCCACGTCCCCCGCCCTCCCCCCTCCCCCGTCCCCACGTAGCTGCTTCCCACCTTCCCCCTCCCTCACCCCATGGGGATCACTTCCATGTAAACCCTAAATCCCGGCCCCAGGATGTGCTATGGAGCCCAGACCAAGAGACGGAGGGGTGCGGCCAGGCTACGGGACTGTGACGAGCGCTGGGTGGTGTCCAGTGAAGGCAGGGGGAGCCCAGAGAGCCCCTCACCTCCAGGAAGTGACCAGCGATGACTGGCAGGGGAAGCGGGTGCCTGGGGGCAGACTGCCAGGGAACAGCACGGAGCACTGGGCAGATGAAGCGTGGGCGCAAGAGCTCGGCCTCCCAGGACGTGCGTCCCAAGGAGCGGCAGAGCAGAGAGCGCAGGGAAGGGGCAGGAAGCCAGCCAGGAGCCTGGGCTCCCCCAAGGACGACAGCAAGCACCAAGGCCACCAGCAGGCAGTGTGGACCAGGGCCTGAAGTGGGTGGCGAGGACACACCTGCCCGCAGTGGGTGCTGGACTGCAGGGCCCTGAGCCCAGCCACTGGTGGAAACCAACCAAGGAGCCAAAGACAGAACCAGCCTAAGTGACCACGAGGGGTGAAGAGAGGAAGGAAAGGTGGCACACGCCCACGATGGAACAGAGTTCAGCATCAGCAGATGATGTCCTGTCACAACCTGGGTGACCAGGAGGACGTCACGCTGAGTGACATGAGCCAGGCACAGGAGGACATGTGCCACATGCCCTCCCTCACGTGCGGGAGCCTTAGAGGCTGATGGGATAGAGGCAGAGAGCCGGCTGGAGGCAGAGGGAGCGCTGGCAGCGCTGCCGGTGGACGGGGTCTGCTGCTAACTGCACAGCCAGAGGCTGCAGGCGACCGCACAGACAAAACAGAGGACGGACAGGATTTTCAATGTTTTCCCCACAAATAAATGTTGCGTGTGTGAGGCAGTGATGTGCTCAGGACCCTGATCTGATCACTGCACACTCTCCACAGACATCCAAATACCACGCTGACCCCATGAACTCATAGGACCATTCTGTCAATTAAAAATAAAACGAAAATAATTTTTTAAATGAATCACTCAGGGAGGGTTTTAAAAGCATTAGTGGTGAGGAGGCAGTCCAGGACGCACGGTCAGTGTCTGGAGGAGCCGGGGGTGAGACACCCACAGATCTCAGCCGGCTCCCATCTGGTGCGCATGGGGGCCACCAGCTCGGCATGAACCTCGTCCCACCACCAATCCACTGCCCCAGGAAGAAGCTCACCCGGCGTCTGGCCAGCACGCCTCCCTGCAGACACTGGTATCGTGCAAAGAAGAAGAGTACCGTCCAGCTCAGTGCCAGGGAGACCAGGAAGGCAGTGAAGAAGGCCGCGGCATGGAGACCATGGTTGGGTAGAACCTGCAGGAAACAGGGAGAGCGAGAGTCACCTGCGGTCACACTTCCCATCTGCCAAGGTCAGCAGATGACCAAGAGTCTCAGCAGAACACACAGGGAGTCAGGAGAGCCAACTGGGTTTGGACCAGCTCTCCCAGGGCCTGGCTGGTTGCCTTGGGGTCCTTGCTGGCCCTCTTGGAGCTTGAGTCCCTCCTGGTGTTAAGGCTCGCCACTCAAGAACGTTCATTTCCAAAGTCAAACACATACCAAACATCAGGCAGCACTGGAGACCTGGGTATTTCCTAACAGTAAGGGGCAGAATCTTGCAGGGGCCAGTACCTCAGTGCACTTGAGACCCTCACCCCAGGAGGTCCACCCATCAGGGGTGTAGCCAGGACACCGAGGAGAGGGGGAGGATGCCCAGGGCAGCAGACATTCCCACAGGAGGTGGGTGGGCACTAGGCCATCCTGCCACTCCACGATCTGGGCAGGAGCTCGCCAGGGCTCAGCATGACTGGCAGACAAGGAGCCGCACCACCCAGATGCCTGTCAAGAGGGACTTGGTGTGAAGCTGCGGGTATGCAGGCAGTAGACAGCCCGTGGCTTCGAGGTCAGAATCAGCGGCAGAGAGCCACCTCACTTGATGTCACAGTCTTTCCAGAACTGCCTGCACCTAGCAGCAGAGCACAGTAGGGCGTGACGGCCAGCAACTGCCACCCGACGAGGGACACCCTGATGGCCACACAGGCTCCAGGGCTTCCCCACCAGGTTGGCTGAGGACGGCGACCCCACCTCCTCCTCTGCCCAGTCCTGGCTCCTCCTTATCCCCCTCACTGGGGGCATCACCTACAGGTCAATAATGACCACAAAGATACAAAGCAAAATCAGAAGTGGAGGAGATGCACCCTGCAAAGCCCCAGGAAGACAGCACACGTGCTTCCAAGAGCCCCCTGGGTGCAGCACCAGGAGGTGCCCAATCCCAGCAGGGAGTGGGGCTGCTTGTGAGATGCTGGCTGCCTGCGAGGCTCAGTAAGACGCAGCGTCCCAGTTCTCACCCAGGGGTGGGGACGCAGGCCCCTCTGCTTGGCATGAACAGAGTTCCTGAAGGAAAGAAGGTGTTCAGTACCAACTGTGGATGTGTTTGTGAAGCCAGCCTAGTCACAGCCAGCCACGCTCACCAGCCTGGCGAGAGGAGGAACCCTCCTAAGACCCAAGGAATCAGACGCCAGCTCGGGCTGACCCTGCAAGCCAGCCTGAGAGCAGCCCCCAGCCCCAGGGGCCACCCTTTCTGCAACCTGGAAATACACTGAGCCCTCCTCTGTCTCAGCAACTGCTCCAGAGAAGCCAACCCAGGAGGACAAGTCTCATTCAAAACAGCTGCAGACAACAGGGACACTGACAGCTCAGGAGCCAGCAGACAAGTAGCCCACCCCTCATTCCTGCAGCCGCATGCAGGTGACAGTCAAGGGCAAGTCCTCTCAACAGACCAGGCCACCCCAGCCATCCTGCTGTCAATGCTGAGCCCCATGCAGGGGTTCCCCTAGACCCTGAGGGCAGCTGAACCAAAGCACAATGGCAGGCTCACCGCCCCGTGGCTCAGCCGTCTACCAAGAGGGAGGACAGCCACTCTGCCTCCCACTTGGACCTCCTAAATCAGGACTTTGACTAACACCAAAATGAAACCCAGGGTCTCCTACATTTGTGCTGGAGTATCCCTCTGAGCCCTAATTGTGTACCCACTGGACAAGAAAAACGTCACTAAACTGGATAAACATGAATAGTATTCCATGGAGGTGACATTAAAATATTGATAAAGAAGAGACCCCCCCTCCCAATGTCTCTAAAGAGGCCAAGGCGCTGGGGTTGAGCTTACCAAGGGGTCTGCTCTTGCAGAAGGGGCAGCCTGTTTCACAGCTTTAGGAAGGAGGGAAGGATCTGGCACAGGCCCTGTGGACCGCCTAGACAAGGTGTCCGGGCGAGGCGCCAGGCTGAGCTGATCTGCTGTCAAAGCTGAGCCCACGCTGAAGTGCTAACTCCCAGGATCTATGCGGGATCTTATTTGGAAGTATGCTCTATGAAGATGTGATCCAGATGTGGTTGTGTTGAACTAGGGTGGGCCCTGAGTCCCCTGGCCATGTCCTCATAGGAGAGGAGATGGACAGACACAGGACACACAGAGAAGATGGGCCTGTGAAGACAGAGGCAGAGGCCAGTGTGCAGCTGGGAGCAGGCGAAGGCTGAGGGCTTCCGGGGCCACGTGAAGCCGGGGGCACGAGGAAGGTTGCTTCTCCAGGACCTTCCCAGGCAGCGTGGCCCTGCCAACGTCTGAGACTCCCGCCTCCAGCCTGAGAGAACAAGAGCCTGCTGACTAAGGGGCTGAGCCGTACAGGTCCCCCAGGGCTCCCAGGACACGGAGCCAGTGTGTGATTGACCTCCTGGCACTCAATGCCCAGCAATCCTGCAGAGACGCCCAGCAGACAAACAGATGAGCAAAGAGATTCAGTAACTCATGTCCTCGGCTGAAAAACGCCAGTTGGGCTCTGCTGGCCACCAGTGTCCATGTTCTCCCCTCAGGTCACACCAACCACCGTCCAGGTTGCTGTGAAGTTCCTAGTCCCACTCTCCTAGTCCAGGGGAGAAGCTGCTTGACTGACTGGTGAGAACCACAAACAAGGACTGGGCCAGAATCACAGGCAGCAGGTCCTGTGCTGTGCACACACTCCACACCCCCCCTCTCCTCCCTCCCCGTCACCCTCTCTCCTCTTCCCACCTCCACCTTCTCAATCCAAATCTGAGGTCCCACGTTCCTTTGGCCAGGAGACCGGCAGAGGTAACTGGAAGAGCAGAGGTTCCGGGCAGTTCAGCGAGGCGGGGTCTGGCTGGACGTGGCACACAGCCAGGATGCACGTCCACACCGACAGAGCAGGGCGGCTCTGTGGATCCTACTGTCTTCTCACTTGCAAATTTTACTTCTGACACCAAACAACAGGCACATCTTGTAGGCAGAGCCTGCCTCCTGGGGTAAGACCACCTTAACTACCATATTCATCTATCTGCAGTGCTAAATCACACTAGGCCCTGTCCTTTCCCTGCCCACAACTTCCACCATGAAGATGGACAAAGAAGAGCTAGGTCTCAAGATGCAGCTTTCTGGGAAGGAGAAGAGGCCACCCAATCACCACCATCATCATCATGCTCACCACCACTGTTGTTATGGTGTGGATACGAGGTGCCCCCAAAAGCCCATGTGTGCAATAATACAGGGATGTTCAGATGAAAAGATCAGACCAGTGGATTAATCCACTTGTGGGATTACTATTCTGAAAGGATTCATGGGTGGTGTGGCTGGAGGAAGTGGGTCACTGGGGACAGGCCTTTGGGGCTTAGTTTTGTCCCTGGAAAGTGGAGTTCCCTCTGTCTCTCCCCTGCCCCTTCTCTCTGTTTCCTGACTGTCGTGAACTGAGTAGACTTCCTCTGCCATGGCATTCCACCATGATGCTCTGTCTCATTCGAGCCTAGAGCTATAGTCGGTCAACCATGGACTGAAGCTCTGAAACCATGAGCCAAAAATAAACTTTCCCTCCTCTAAGGCGTTCTTGTCAAATATTTTGGTCCCAGGGATGAAAAGTTGTCAGAGACAACCATCAACATTCATCACTACCACCATTATCCTCACCATCATCATCACCATTACCATCACCATCTCCATCATCTCTGCCACCATGACAACTACCACCATCACTATCATCACCATGACCACCACCATCATCACCATCACCATGACCACCACCATCATCACCATGACCACCACCATCATCACCATCACCATGACCACCAC